AGCCCTAGGCTTTACTAGGAACCCAATTATCCTGGCTGGGTGGGAGAGTCCTGGGTCCTCTAGATGACCATTTCTCTCATTTTCTATTGGGGACCGAAAGTCACTAGGAAGTGCAGACAGGTGCTATTGAAGACTCCTCTTTATCCCAATCCAGCAAAGTGTAGTCGCACCAGCATACAAGCCCACAGAAGACAGGTATTTGGAAATATCTTCAAGGCCCAGGTTTAAAAGCCAATTAGCCATACATTGTCATTTTGACTGATGAACTGAGGTCAGAAAGGACAGTATCTGATACTAATTAGTCATGTAGCTTTACGTAAGTCACTGTGCCTCTCTGAGCTTCATCAGTGACATCTGTAAAGTGAGAGATTAAATCCAGATAATCTCCAAGGTCCATTTTAGATTAACATTCTGTTATCTGTGTGTCTTTTTAGTAGCTGGGAAAACACAGTCCGATTTGCTCTGCTCGGCAAGGCAAGGCAAGGCACTGTGCATCTCTGGATTAAATGAAGAAAGCATTCTCACTTAACTTTGTGGCCCATTTCCAAGACTTGGCTACAATCCCAAAGGATCAACCTTCTTCACAGAACTACATATCTGAGATGGGGCAGGAATCATGGACTAAGAGAATGGTAAGAAACTTTCTAATCCATTTCCTTGATTTTATAAATGGAAAAACTGATGTTTAGAGCTATTTTAAGATTTGTCACATGTCTAATCAGTGGCAGAAAGGGGACTAGAACTCAGGTATCCCAATCTTAGCACAGGACTCATTCTACAATACCAGGCTACTGACAAAGGCCTTGCCCAATCACTGCTGGCTTTTTTAGCTCTCTCTGGCTTTATCACAGGAGACTCCTTGTGTGAAACTGCGAGTGAAAACAATCTGAATCCAGTGTCTCTTTCTCTTAGGGTTTAAGTAGGCTTCTTCCCTTCTTATTCCTTGGTGGCACCATTCCAAATCCAAGCAGCAGTCCAAGCCAGGGCTGTGAGGAGCAAGAAGCCATGGCTAGATGGTACTTGGGTTACCAAAATGAGAGGCTGCAGTCCCATTTTCAGCTCAGAAGGGCTGTGTGCAACGATGGCCCCACAGCCTCCTCTGTAGTCCAGTTAGTAGGTTCAGGGGTGCTTTCCTGGCCCAGTTGGCTTACAGGGGCAAAGCAGCCTGGTGTAGAGCTCGACAGATCTTGGGCATAGTCACCTTCATGGATGGCAGTCACAAATATTTACTGTGAGACAACCTCATTACTAAGTACTGGCCTGACCCAAATCGGCCCCCACTTTCATCTACCTTTACAGTGCGGGGCAGCAGCTTTCATCTGTGGAGCCTGGAGCTGAACAGACAGGGTTTGAGTTTGCCTAGAGTAGTAGGGGACCAGCCCAGGCAGAGCCCCTGTTGCCTGAGGAAGGAGGGATAGTCACACTTAATCGCTGCCATCCAGACCCTGGCCAACGGTCTCCTAAGGCAACAGACGACTCTACTAGGTTGGTGCCAGCTATAAAGGAGCAGAACCTTTCACCAGAAAGTCTGAGTGTCCTCCACAGTCCTGTCAGGCTAGGTTCACATTTGAGTCTACTAGACGGTAGTGTCCTGCTTGAGACTAAAGATATGCAGATGAGGTTTCAGTCAAGACATAAAAAGGGCTGCTAAGGAGCCCAGATGGAACTAAACCCTAGCATCAGGGTTTGACTTACCTCCACATCTCCCTTATTCTTCTTCTTGATGAGAGTTCATTTTCTCAGCCCATCTCTTACCCTTCATCTTACTTCTCTGACACATCCTTAACTGAACTTTCCTACAGTCTCCCTCCTCCACTTGCCTCCACCATTTACTCTATGCAGAGTAGACACAGTGGGCATTCTTCTTAGTGATAAAAACATCGGATTCAGGGTTTGAAGGCTGGATGGAAAGGTTGGCTCTGTCATTTTCTAGTGTATGACCTTGGGCAAGTTATTTGCCTGCCTGAGCTAAGGGCCCTCATCTATGAAATGGAGACAAGTGTGGCAATTACTTTCACTGGGTAAATGAAGAGTAAACAAGAACAGATATAAGTTCTTGGTATGGTGGATGGCACATAGTAGATAAGCATTCCAGTAAATGACTATTGAAGTGGATGAATGAAACCTGAGTTCTCATCTCACTGGGAGAATACTTTGGGGAATCACTTCCACACCCAAGTTTTTGACATCTGAGACATCCTGAGGCTCAAATCCACTATCACTTACTAGTGACACGAGGCAACATGTTTGACCCATATAAAATGAATAATAGGGTTGCTGGGAATATTAACAGTGGAATACAGACAGAGTAAGGGTTCAATAAATAGAAACTATCAAGGTTATATTTGACAGCAAACGATAACAGAAAGGTCTTGGTAAAGAATGGGGACTCCAACTTGCTTACAAAGGAACCGTTTCCAGGACTTCAAGTATTCCATGGCGTATTTAAGGAGGTTCAGGTTACTGGGCAGAAGACAGTATTAAGAAATGGGTGTGGTAGAAACCAGAAAGCTGAGAAATCTAGGATCTTCTCGTTCTGAAACAACAGCCCACGTGCAGGTGATGAGGGTTTATCTAGCGAGCTTGCCAGAAATCACACGGTGAGTGGGGTGGGGGATGAGGAGCATGGAGGCAGCTCTTGAAGGGAAGGGATATTAAACCATGTTATATTCCACTGGACCGGCTTCCCAGGGCTCAGCTACAGATTGCCCCACTCACAATCGGCAGAGAAAGGGGCAGTCTTTTTTCAGGGGGGTGGGAAAAAGCTGACCTAGTCCTGTTCTCCTACACTAGTCTGTCAAATGCCTCAGGGTCTCCTACCAGAAATAGGAGCAAGAACTCCACCCCCACTCCCAATCGCTACCCCTGGCTGCTACGCAGTTCTTTTCAGAGAGTCCTAGCCAAGGAAGGGCTGGCGAGCTCACAGGGCAGGGGGCTCAGCCGCCCGCCTCCCTTCCCCCAGTTCTCTGGGCACAGCGGCGAGCAAGGGGCGACTCCGGCCAGCGAAGACTGAGAAGCCGCGGCTGCAGCTCCATGAATGAATGGGCTGTGTCGTGGGCTCCGGGAGTTCACCTCAATCCTTCCTGCCGGCCTCTGTGCTGTCCCAGGTTGTCATTCCCCAGCTCGTCGCACTTGGTCATTCCTGCCACTGTTTCCCGCCCCCGCAACCCTCATTAAGGGAACTCTCATTTAAAGCCCCAGTGAGAACCCACGAGGGGTGAGGCAGAGCGAAGGAGGGGCCGGCGGCAGTGCAGCAGCGAAGCCCGGGCTCTCGGTCTGGGGCGCCTCGTGGCCCCCACCGCCCTCCCCCGAGTCCCCACCACGCAGTTTCGAACTCCGAGCGCGAGTCCGCGGCGCGGCGAGGCGCCCCGTCAGCAGTCGGCGGGGGTGAGGATGACGCGGGCCGGGCGGGAGGCAGGCCAACTGCAGCGGCCCCGCCGCGGGCCGCCGGGCCCCTGAGCCCCGCTCTCCACAGCCAGGGGACGCTGGGTGCGGGCCAGAGGGCGGGGGCCGGTGAAGGCTCTCCCGCCGCAGCCCCGCGCCGCTCCAGCCTATCAGCGGCCACCCAACGGCTCCCTCCGACCGGCCCAAAATAGCTGCGAACGCCTGCGACTTGCGCGCGGCCCCTCACTTGACGCTCACTCCAGCTCGCTCGCCCGCTCGCCCTGGCCCCGCTCCGCTCGTCTGGAGGGGGCGGGGAGGAAGCGGCCCGGGGAGGGGGGAGGGGGGAGGGGGAGAGAGGAAGAGAGGAGGAAGGAAGGAGGAAGGAGAAAGACGGGCGGCCGGAGGCGCGGGGCTGCGCGGCGCCGGCCGGCGCGGCGCTGGAAGGCGCCGGCGTTAACCCCGCGAGGCAGCCGGCGGAGGGGGAGCAGCGCTAATACATAAGAGCACTGCATCACGCTAATCTTCTCCCAGAACAGTATGCGTCAGCAGTACATTCACGTTCTGACTGAAGGACAAAAGGATGAGAGAGCAGTCTGCGTGGCTGCCGCCTGCAACACCGCGAGCCCGGCGCGAGGAGGAGACGGTGGGCGCCGCGCACAGGAGCCCCGCTGTTGCCGCCGTCGCCGCTAGCCAGCGGGGACTATGTTCCCGGGCTCCGGAGCGTTTCCCGCAGCCGCGACCCCCGCTGCTCACGCCGCTGCAGCAGTCCGCTGGCGGCGCGGCCACTGAGGGCGCCGGGAGCCAAAGCCGCGAACTCGCTCCGTCCGCACAAATCCGGAGCCGGCGGCGCGCCGGGGGCCGGGCAGCGGCGGGCGGCGCGGGGCGGTTCTGCCGCGCCGCGGGGGCTGCGGCGCCGCCGCGGCCCCGCGCCGCCCGGGACTCTGTGAAGGGGCCTGTGGTGCAGGCGCGACCGCGGGCGCCTCGCGCTCCTCCGGCCGGCGGACCGGGTCCGGGCGCAGCCGCCACGCCGCCGGCCCTCGGGCGCCTGACGGATCTTCGCCCCGCGCGCCGGCAGCCGGCGGACTGGAGAACTGAGCCCGGTTTTTGTCTCTTCCACCCTCCGAGAAGAGGCGAGGAGAAAGGGGGTGTGTGTCTGGGGAGGGCGAAGGCGCCGCGAACACCTCTTAACTCTCGCCGCCCTGCGAGCTCACGACCGCAATCAGCTGCCGCCGGCCCGGAGCGGCCGACGCGGGGAGAGGGAGCGCAGCATCGAGCGAGCGCGGCCTGGGCGGCTTCGGGGCGCCCCCGCACCCCCTCCGGCGGCGGCCCGGGGAGCGGGCCGGGGCCGCCGGAGCGCACTTTGGCGATGAAGCGCCTTCTCCCGCGGCTGGAGCGAGCCCGTGCCAGGGTCCAAGGACAAAGCCGGGAAGCGCTGGTGGCGCCGCTCCTCGGGCGGAGGGGGGGGCATGCACCTGCATAGCCCGCCGGGCCTTCGCTCTCCCAGGCGCGCCTCAACTCCGCGGCTTCGCCGGCTCAGGCTCCGGATTTACTAGAAGCCATTTTGTCTCCCCCACCCCTTCCCTCCCCTCCCCTCCCCTCTGCCCTCCCCGCCCCCACCACTTCCCCCTTTTGTTAATTAAAACTAAGAAGTCGGAATGGGAACGAGGTGCCCAGCTCCCGTGGAGAAAGCTTAAGGACACCACGCCAGTGTTTTCCTGCCTTCCTTCCGAGGTAGGTGACGGCGAACTGGGTGGGGACGGTTGCAGTGTGGGAGAGTCGTAGCTTTCGGAGGGCTTGCCTTGAGGGTGGGTTGGGAGACGAGGGGCCGCTCGAGTTTAGCAGGATTTTTTTCGGCCGATCCGCTCCGTCTCTCTAATCGCCCCCTCCCCACCTCCTTCTCCAGATGGAAAGAGGAGCTCCTAGCTCACTTAAGCCGGGGTAGGGCTGGTTCTCCTTTCCGAGCCAAAATCCCAGGCGATGGTGAATTATGAACGTGCCACACCATGAAGCTCTTGTGGCAGGTAACTGTGCACCACCACACCTGGAATGCCATCCTGCTCCCGGTCGTCTACCTCACGGCGCAAGTGTGGATTCTGTGTGCAGCCATCGCTGCTGCCGCCTCAGCCGGGCCCCAGAACTGCCCCTCTGTCTGCTCGTGCAGTAACCAGTTCAGCAAGGTGGTGTGCACCCGCCGGGGCCTCTCCGAGGTCCCGCAGGGTATTCCCTCCAACACCCGGTACCTCAACCTCATGGAGAACAACATCCAGATGATCCAGGCCGACACCTTCCGCCACCTCCACCACCTGGAGGTCCTGCAGTTGGGCAGGAACTCCATCCGGCAGATTGAGGTGGGGGCCTTCAATGGCCTGGCCAGCCTCAACACCCTGGAGCTGTTCGACAACTGGCTGACAGTCATCCCTAGCGGGGCCTTTGAATACCTGTCCAAGCTGCGGGAGCTCTGGCTTCGCAACAACCCCATCGAAAGCATCCCCTCTTACGCCTTCAACCGGGTGCCCTCCCTCATGCGCCTGGACTTGGGGGAGCTCAAGAAGCTGGAGTATATCTCTGAGGGAGCTTTTGAGGGGCTGTTCAACCTCAAATACCTGAACTTGGGCATGTGCAACATTAAAGACATGCCCAATCTCACCCCCCTGGTGGGGCTGGAGGAGCTGGAGATGTCAGGGAACCACTTCCCTGAGATCAGGCCTGGCTCCTTCCATGGCCTGAGCTCCCTCAAGAAGCTCTGGGTCATGAACTCACAGGTCAGCCTGATTGAGCGGAATGCTTTTGACGGGCTGGCTTCACTTGTGGAACTCAACTTGGCCCACAATAACCTCTCTTCTTTGCCCCATGACCTCTTTACCCCGCTGAGGTACCTGGTGGAGTTGCACTTACACCACAATCCTTGGAACTGTGATTGTGACATTCTGTGGCTAGCCTGGTGGCTTCGAGAGTATATACCCACCAATTCCACCTGCTGTGGCCGCTGTCATGCTCCCATGCACATGCGAGGCCGCTACCTCGTGGAGGTGGACCAGGCCTCTTTCCAGTGCTCTGCCCCCTTCATCATGGATGCGCCTCGAGACCTCAATATTTCTGAGGGTCGGATGGCAGAACTTAAGTGTCGGACTCCCCCTATGTCCTCCGTGAAGTGGTTGCTGCCCAATGGGACAGTGCTCAGCCACGCCTCCCGCCACCCACGGATCTCTGTCCTCAACGACGGCACCTTGAACTTTTCCCACGTGCTGCTTTCAGACACTGGGGTATACACATGCATGGTGACCAATGTGGCAGGCAACTCCAACGCCTCGGCCTACCTAAATGTGAGCACGGCCGAGCTCAACACCTCCAACTACAGCTTCTTCACCACAGTAACAGTGGAGACCACGGAGATCTCGCCTGAGGACACAACGCGAAAGTACAAGCCTGTTCCTACCACGTCCACTGGTTACCAGCCGGCATATACCACCTCTACCACGGTGCTCATTCAGACCACCCGTGTGCCCAAGCAGGTGGCAGTACCCGCGACAGACACCACTGACAAGATGCAGACCAGTCTGGATGAAGTCATGAAGACCACCAAGATCATAATTGGCTGCTTTGTGGCAGTGACGCTGCTAGCTGCCGCCATGTTGATTGTCTTCTATAAACTTCGTAAGCGGCACCAGCAGCGGAGTACAGTCACAGCCGCCCGGACTGTTGAGATTATCCAGGTGGACGAAGACATCCCAGCAGCAACAACCGCAGCAGCAACAGCAGCTCCGTCCGGTGTATCAGGTGAGGGGGCAGTAGTGCTGCCCACAATTCATGACCATATTAACTACAACACCTACAAACCAGCACATGGGGCCCACTGGACAGAAAACAGCCTGGGGAACTCTCTGCACCCCACAGTCACCACTATCTCTGAACCTTATATAATTCAGACCCATACCAAGGACAAGGTACAGGAAACTCAAATATGACTCCCCTCCCCCAAAAAACTTATAAAATGCAATAGAATGCACACAAAGACAGCAACTTTTGTACAGAGTGGGGAGAGACTTTTTCTTGTATATGCTTATATATTAAATCTATGGGCTGGTTAAAACAGATTATATTAAAATTTAAAAACAAAAAGTCAAAACAAAAATATTTTCTAACTTGTAAGTTCTATTTAAAGGGGGTGGGGGGGAATCTTGGGAATGTTGTGGGGTACAAGCCACAAGTTAACTTGCTGTGCTGCCAGAAGGGATTTCTGGTATAAGGTTGAAATTGCTGAGATAAAATAAACTAAAACAACAAACATCCCTAAAGAGGTAGGATGTGGGCTGCTGAGGGGGCAAGAGGGATAGACTGAACTTGTCATTTTTTAGAAGATGCTTCATAGGACACAGGAATACCAATTTCTACAGACATCTTTCTTAAGCCGAGAGCTGTCTTTGCAGAATTATCTTATTTAAAAAATACAAAAAAAAAGCACCATGAATTTGTACTGTGCCAAAATGTTAGTGGCAATAATATTTTTCTTCAGAGGCTAAGGGGAAGATAGATCTGTACATGTATTTTAAGCAGGAAAACCACCAAAATTCAAATGAACCCTTAAAGGGGCTGAGTCTTTGTCCATGTGCACAAGTCTTGGGGGTCTGTGCACTGGGACACACGTGTGCCTTGCCTGACAGAATGCTTAGGAAGGAGCAGAGAAGGATGGGAGCTGGCGTAGCTCTCAGCCTAATGCTTTCACATTGCACCAGATTCCTGCAGTTGGGCTTAACCCACTCTGCAAGGCATGTGTCTATTCAGGGTTTCCCAGGAGGAGGAGGCCCCTGAAGGGGTGCGGCAGCAGGGGGGTGGGAAGGGAGGGTAAAGCAGAGAGAATGTATTCACAGGAGGCCATAAATTAGCATTGTGCCATGTCCACCTGTTGTTCCTGGAATCTGACAAATGATTGTAGACAATGATGGCATTTTATGATTTTTAAAAAAGATTTTGTTTGTTTTAAGGTGGAGAGGGAGGAGAAGCCTGAAGTGGGGAGCTTGGGAGTGGAAGCTTTTCTCATGCTTGTGATTTGGTGACTTTTCTAAATGCTGATTCATTAGGGACTATTACAGTGGATGTCAACCGGTTGTGGTGATGGGGTGGGGGCAGAACATGAGTAGCAAAGAAAAAGGAGAGACGAAAAGGGTACAGGCTCATGTAAAGTAATGAAGCCTTTCCCAACCAGGATGGTTCACAAAAAAGCCTGAGAGCCACAGTTACAAGTGACATGCATGCACACATGGAGTTCCACATGGGGTCCTGTTGAATGAAGCACACTGAGGGGAAGCTTCCCTCTCCCAGGCCACCTCAGGAGAAGGTGAAAGAGAAAGGGTGGGCGTGGGTGGGGAAGGCAGAGATCTCTGTTATTCTGGTCCATTTAATGATGTAACTTCTTTCAGTTATTACTTTAGCTTTAAAAGGAAATAAGGGGTTCAGATTTGAAAGGGGGTGGTATGGGTGGGGGTGGGGTGGGGAATTGCCAACAAAAGAACACTGATTGTAATGTGAGAAAAGTGTATTTTTGTATTTTAATAAATATTGTTGAATTTTTAATTCAATGTCCCCAAAGGGTTAAATTGAATAAGACCCTGAACCTATAGATTCTTATGAGCCAATCATTTCTATTTAATAAAAAAGCGGGGAGGGGAGGGTAGAGGTATGATGGGGGAAAGACAAATGTTAAATTATTTTCAAGTATGGGAAAATGCTAAAGCTGTTAATAACCTTTCCTTAGCTTAAATAAAAGCACCCCGATTCTAGTGCACCTTCCACAAGCTAACTGTGTTAGTCCCTGGCTTTGTTGGGGGTATAACCAAATTCCCTGTGCCCTGGAAAAGCAGGGGAAATGGGTCAGCCTCAGCTCCTGGGACCTGGCCAAAAGTTAAATGCCACCTCAGCAGAAGCTGCTGGTCAGGCAGCACCAGCTCTACCCGAGGACCCTGGGGGACCTGGATTTCAGAGGTCTGTAATAATGTAGTTTGGCTTAAATTTCCGACAGGCAGTGTTGCTTCTGTTCTCTGGGTGCTAAATAATCCAAACATGTCTTCGTGGTACGTGTCTGTCTCCTGATGCTTACCGAGTAATAATGTCCAGAGAGGCTGCATGAATCAGGACCCTGCACTTCTTTAGTGCTAGTATTTATACTAATGCAGAGAATTGGGACTGAGTGGGTGTGAACTCTTTGGAACTGAGGAAGGAAAGAGAGGCAGGCTCCACTTTGCAGCAGTTGGCTAAGGGCCAATTCTTAATCCTCCTGGGTATATACATCATTTCTGGGTATCAGTGTGCCAGCACATATGTATGGGCACACACTTATAAACTGCCACTCACAGTTCTAGGCACCAAAGATCCATTCCTCCTGCCTCTCCTTTACCACCATACCCCCAATAAAAAAGAAAACTGCAGGAGAGCAAAGGGTGGGACTTGGCTAGGACCAGGTGAAAAAGCAAGAAATTACTCCCTTTCCTAGTGCCACAAGACACAACTCAGGCTGTTTAAAACAGCTTCCTGGGTATGCATTCAGAGGAAATTGCGGAGGAAGTTGCTGTTTCAGAAATAGAGGATGAGGAGCCAATTTCCTAACACCCTTCTTTTTTTTTTTTTTGACAGCTATTTGAGCAGACAGGGAATTATGCAGTAACTCTGCAATGACTAAGGGTCTGTGGCTAACAGTCTGAGGGGTGAGGTACAGAAATGGGCCTAAAACAATCTTGGGAAAGAGTCCTATGGACAAATGCATTTGTCCCAAGGAAGACTATATTCAGCTCCAATCTGTGGGAGAAGGACTTTTCAAAGGATCCTCAAAGGAATTGGGGGAGACTAAGAATATGGATCCTAGATTTAAGTATCCTCAGAGCTGCCAGGAGAGTTCCTTACCCCAGCAGGCCTGCCCTTTGATCCGTGCAGTTTCAACTTTTACAGCAGTAACCTTCCTTTGCTATCATGGTATATCCTCCTCTGTAGCAGGCACTTGGGACAGCTTTTCAGAGAGGCATCCCGTGCGTACCAAAAATGCAGCCGTGAATGCTGTGACTCATCCTTGGCCTGGCCAAGGTTTGTTACTTAGGAATGGAACACGGGTTGGTAGCTCGTCGGGGGGTAGTTATAGCAACATGTTGGATGTAAAGACTCTTGCTGATGATACGCAGTTAGAGAATTTTCATTATAGAACTGAAAGCCATGAAAAATCATTTAGTCTAATCCTTTCACATTTTACAGTCAAAGAAACTGAGCCCCAGAGAAATTAAAAGACATATCCAAGGTCACACTGCTAGTGGAGGAGGTGGGACTAAAAGCTCAGGTCTCTTGACCCCTAAGTCAATGTGCTTTCTCTCTGCTATTGGCTATCAAGAACATACTTAACTAGCAAAACACAGTTAAAACGGGCCCTTCCTAAGATATGTCTGTGTTCTCTTATCCCTCTTAGAGCTGTTCAATCTCTTTAGAACTGGCTCTCCTGCCCTCTAAGGCCTGACTACAGGGGCTCCACAGGTGCTAAGGGGTTAGATTATCAGGACTGTACATAACAGTTTCCTGATTCTTAGGCCCAATGGCAGACAGAAACTGCAGGATCCCACAGAGGGTGACAGCTAAAGGGGAAGGAGTGAACTAGATAAGACTTGGTGTATTACAGTGAGAAAAGGTGGCTTGGCCTCCTTCCAGCCTTGGAAACTCTGCAGTGTTGCGGAGGTCTTAAAACACCTACTGGACCACAGAGGTTCCCCCATAATGGAGCGGTTTTTGCTTACCTGGCTCAACAATGAGAATAGTGGGAGGCTCTTTCACTCCTTTTCTCCACCGTATCTACCCCAGCTCTAGCTCTTTAAGTGCCATGCTGTAGCTGCCACTTCTATAACGTGCTCCAGGCCTTTTTAACACCCTTCAGCTGGATCCTATTATCAATGGAGGTAAAGGTAGATAGGCTAGTTTCTAAGGCCTAGAGACATTAGCTTTATCATGGCTATTTAACATGTATTGAGGCCAGCAACTTGCTGGGTGCTGGGTGAAACTACCAGCAGCGAGTCCCTGGCAAGACAATTCCTATTGTCTGGGAAGAGGGTCAGAGTCCATGGTCTCTGGCTTCCTTCTGTAGTAATGGTTAGAGACTGGGAGAGGGCTAAGTGGGCCTTACCCCAGGCTTCTACCTCAGGGGGCCAGGGCCTATAATTAACGGCTCCATCATTTCATTGCAACAAAGCAGCAGGGGCTTAAAATTAGAAAAAAGAGAGAGAGGAACATTTATATCCAAACATATGTCTGATTTTATCTCCTCTGCTGGCACTCAGCATTCCATGCCATCGGCTAATGCAGGCACTGTTCACGCCATTTCTGAATCCTGCCTCAGCTAAACTGCAAGGCAGCTTTTGGCTCAAAGCAACTCTCTTGGTCTCACTCCTTTTAGGAAGCACCCCTCTCCCATGTAAGAGGAAGAATGGTTTGGACAGGATAATGTTGTTTTCATCTTTGCTTTAAATTAAAATGAAGTAAATTACTTCTTGGAGCAGTGATAAGGGCTTCAGGAACTAGATCAATATAATACACACACACACACACACACACACACACACACACAAAATATAGCATAGTGCTTGCAAGCACAGACTCTGTAGCCAGTCTTCCTGTGTTGAATCCTAGTTCCATCACTTACTAGCTGTGTGACTTTGGGAAAAGACTCAATTTCTTCACCTAAAAAATACCGACAATATTACTATCTACCTCACTACTTCACAGATTGTGAGAACTGAAATTTTACATATATA